TTTCTCTCTCTCAAAAAAGAAAAAAAATAAAAAGGAGGCCAGACACCTGATAGGATGCTGGGGGAAGCAATATTTTTGTCAAAGGATGCCTTGCTCCTTGCTCCTAGAAGCTAACACTAGAGTTATGGTGGCATTAGGGAGTTCTTAAAAATAGATAGCAATTAATTAATTAATTCAGTAACTAATTGCACATTTATTGAGGATCAATGAGAGATGTAGTATAAGATACCATGATTTGTTCTGATGACGAAACAAATATTAGCCATATAAACACTTATGGGTTTCTGTTGATAGAAACCAGCTAAAGTTAACATTGAACCCAGGGGAGATTTATTATAAGGAGATATGGCATTCTAAGCCAGCAAGGATACCAAACCTCAGGGAAAGATGCTTCAGGAGGCCATGGAACGTAGTCCTTTATTCCTGGGGCCATGACTGCCATCTCAGTACCTGGCACATGACTAATATTGCTTGATTAACAATTGTAGAAGATACTTGATTAAAGACCAATCAAAAAAGTAGAAGATACTGTAGCAGGAAACCCAGAAAGTGGTCAATTTCCATGTGTTATGTCTTTGCCTTTGCACTTGTGTTCTCTCCGCTCACTTGACAGAGAATGTTGCTGGTCCACCATCCTGGAATGTAGATATTACAATCCAATTACACTTATTAAATGTACGTGATTCTAACTGGATCAAAATAGATGCTTTGTCCCAAGAGGTGGCTTTGTCCTCATGACCAGGACTGAAATTATGTGGTAAAACATGTTCAGGGGGCGCACTTAAAGAGAACAGTTCTGAGTGATTTTTATTGCAGAATTGGTAACTAACGAAGCCAAAACTGGATCCTGCAGTAATAGGGCCTTTCAATATGTATAAAAATGTATATTGTTTCTCAGTGTTCTACATTGAGTCATCTCCATTCAGTCTCCCTGGAAACAGGCTACTTACACCTGTGTTTTCAAATAACCTCCTATAAGTTTGATTCCAAAATCTATATTTTTAGCATACAGCTCTTTCCTGAGCTCCAGATCCATATATCTGTCTTCTTACTTAATTTTCCATGGTTGTCTCTCAGACACTTCACTTCGGTGTGCTCAAAACTGAAATCGTCTTCCCTCCAAAATCTGTACCTCTTCCAGTATTCTTTAACATGTAAAGGTGGATGTTTTTTTTTTTTCAAATACACAGTAAAGGCTATGGTGATTACTGGCAAATTAGCGTCATTAGAGTCAAAAACATGGATACAAAAAGGACATCTTGGAATTTGGAATAGAAAATTAAAATCCGAAAGCTGCCAGCAATATCACACATTAATAAAAGGTTTGCCCACACACAGTCTGAAAACAAGATGTAATTTGGGAATTCAAATCAGTTTATTTGGCTATTGGAGGAAGGCTTAGTATTAGGGTGACTCTATATCCCAGTTTTCCTGGAACAGTTACAATTTTTTCCTCTTCACCCAGCATCTGTCTTGTTTTATATTTGTTTCCACTGTTTTATTTTATTATTATATATTATAATAATTATATTATATTTGATATTCATATTATTAACAGTTGAATTAAACTAGTCTTACATGAACTTAGTAGAACTCCACTAGTTTCTGTCATGTTCTCATCCAGTAATGTGTGAGTCATATGTAAGGTGAACAGAATTTATATTCTATCACTATTCCTAGTTTTGTCCAGGCACAGTGTGTCTAAGCTCTCATTTCATCCAAAGAAGCTAACTCCATGTGGTACCCATGGGGTAACGGGAGGGGTATTCTCCTCTGATGCCCGTGATGGTACTTGGTATACTAACCAGTTGTGCCACGGTCCATAGAGTGGTCTGTGAGATGCACAGAGTTGTCAATCAGTGAATTCGATGAGAAAATGGGAAATGACAGGTTGTGTATACATGAAACATAAGCAGTTAGTAAAGGTTGAGCATAGTCTGCCATGGGAAACACAAAGAATAATTTAAACAGTCGTGCTAGAATGATTTTGGTATTTATTATATGGTGCAAATCTCTATTCAATAGTTTTATTTTTGGTAATACCTTTATGTTTCCTAATATATTTCCTTTTAAGCAAAAAAATAAACTGAAAAAAACAAAAGTGCATGCTTGTTGAACAATTAAAAATTGGTTTACCATACCTCAAATATATTTTGACATTGACTATATAACCTGCACAAGAGGTTAGGTGACATTTACTATCCCCTATCCTCAGGGGACATAGCTGTACGTGTAAATAGAAGGTGACAATTTGCTAAGCACCATCAATATATACTACAAAAGAAATGTCTTTTGGAGGCTGAGTCCAAAGTAAACTATTTAACACGCGTATATAGTCAGTGTGTTTATATATCACTCTTTGAGACATGAGTTTTCATTTAGATCAGATGACAGCTCATCTCAGTTAATTTCACTTATTTTGATTCCAAGATTTCTTTTACATACAAAAAATGAGGTTATTGCTTTTATTTTTGACCCATTAGTAGGAAAAAAGAAACTCCATGAAGTGTTAGATGATGTCAATGTTACATCAATGTCATCAGATATTTCAAGTAGAAAATTAATTCCAAAAGTGGTTTAATTTTTTTCCCATCTAATTTACAGAATCCAAGTAAAACTTTTGAAAGTGTATTTTGTCATAGATGAAATGCATGACATTCCTGGAAACGGAATTGTAAATTCTTTACAAAGGGCAACACTGAGGATAAAATTGTTTTTTCTTACATTGATCATAAGAAATTTTGGAGTAGTGTGGAATCATACTAAAAACAATGTTTTTAACAAACTAAGAAAGTTATGAAGCGGATATATATGCAGATTTGGTCGTGGCACACATATAGCTCATAGCTATTTCCAAACAAACTGATGTATTCTACGCATCAAAATAGAAGTGTTATTGTTTTAGAAATCATTTATTTCGGAAATTTATTTTTTTGAGTAGATCTACTACATAGTACCACCAATAAAACAAGAACAGTTAGTTGGCCAAAGCAAAATAATTTTAAAATTCTACAACTTCCGTTATTTTCAGCATCCTCTTCAGCTCTTAAATCTATCCTGGTGTGGATGATCAATTATATGATTATCCTACCTTTTAAATAAAAGAGATCCCTGCCTATCCATTGAACAAAGACATAAACCGGGAGGTCATTTGACTCTTCCTTCTCACTCAAACATCCAGTCATCAAATAATCATATTTTAAACTAAGTTCCCACTTCTCTGTCACTATCTGAATTCAGTGCTTTCATGTTTCTCTCCCAAATTTCTTCAAAAGACTTCTGTCTGGTCTTCCCTTCCCCATCTGTCATCATTTCAATCCATCCTCCATACTGCTGTCAAAGTGATAGTTACTTAAAATCATTTGAAACTTCTCAATTTCCTACAGAATGAAGTTCAAGCTTGTTGTCATAGAAGGTTTATGCCTAGCTTTCCTATTTCACTTCTTGCCTCTTACCTCCATGTACTCTTTATTCCTTCCACATCTGTGCATCAAATATACTGTATTCCTTCAGGACATGAGACAGACAAAATTTGTTGAGCCTCTTACAATCTTTTTCCCTTTTTTCTGCTTGGCTCTTAGCCTAAGGTACATTCCTTTACCACAGCAACACACATGATCTATTGTAATTGTGGATTTTCTATCTTCCTTTGTAAACTGAGTTTCATTAAAACAGAGAGACTGTATTTCCTTTAATATTCCCAGTAATGAAAACACTCCCTTACACATAAAAAATGCAGTAAAAGTGAATACCAGGTAGAAAAATGAGTGTTGTAATGAGAGGGCAAAGGGATAAGTTATTTCCAGATAGAAAGAGGGGAAAATGCACACAGAATCTGAAGTTTTAATTGATCTTGTGGTATGTATAGGATTTGCACATGCAAAGATGGAGAGAAAACAATTGCAGGCAAAAAGTACAGCTGAAGAATATAAAAAGAATCTTGGACACAGTGAAAATTTAGTGTGGGTAGAGTGAATTAGAACAGGAAGTTGAGTGGTGAGGGATATTTGCAAGGTCCGGATCTAGATTCCCGATATCAGTCTAAAGTTCAGGCTTTATTCTCTTAAGAATGGGAAATACTCTGAGTGTTTGAATAGGAATCATGCATCTATAGCCACACGTCGTCTGAAAACTATATGTGAGAAGGCTTCATAGAAGGAAAAGAAAACTAGTTAGGAAATCATTGCATAGGCTGGATGAACCGTAAGTAGTGCTATTCTGGAGCCAGCTTGTACCTGCTAGTGAGAGCCAGTTGCTGTTTTCAGGAATTTTGTGAGGCAGTTTTTATATACAATCATTATATTAAAGGTTAAATTATGTAAACTTACAATTAAAATAATTTATATTAAAAGTAAAGTACTAAATACTCAAAATTATTCACTTCATACTTAGTTTACTATTATCTATGCATTTGAGGTTTACACATATCTACACTGTGCACATGAGATAAAATTATGTACTATTGCCTATCTCTTCCCAACTCAATTTTAGTGACATTACGGTAGTAGCTTGAAATTAGTCATGACAGAGCATTTACACTACAGTGATTGGCAAATGCTGCAATCATGACTTGAGTGTTTGGCGTGTTTATTGTCTAGATTTAAGAAAGTAATGAAGACGATTATAATAATGCAGATTAAACTTAAAATTATGTCTATAGTAGTTCCATTGTGAATACCACAAAAATTCATAGAACATTTTTTTCTTTTTTTAAAAGATTTATTTATTTTGAGAGAGGGAAAGCACAAGTGGGTGAGGGGCAGAGAGAGAGGGAGAGAGAGGGAATCCCAAGTAGGCTCTGCACTGTCAGTGCAGAACCCGATGGAGGGCCTCATTCCATGAACCATGAGATCATGACCTGAGCCAAAATCAAGAGTCAGACACCTAAACAACCCAGGCACCCCCGTGGAATATGTTTTCCAATAAAATAGAATTATCCAAAGGTGCCCATGTGATTACTGAATGAGTAAAGTTTCAACTTACGCCTTTATTTTTTTTAGGATCTTTACATCAGAACTTCATGTGTTCATCAATTGCAACCATGGGTTGATTGACTGTAGGTATGAGAGTTTGGTGAAGATCAACAAATGCATCGTGTGAGAATGAATTGGATCTGTGAAATTTACAGCAAAGAATAATATAGATTTTATTATAATTTTTAAATTGTGTGCTACACACCTTTTATATTAATAACATTTATATTAAATTTATGTATTTTTTTCTTGCATCTATCTAACTAAATCTATATCTATATTTATATCTATCTATATATACACACATTTTTCGGAGGGGGTGAATGACATATTGTACACTGCTGGCAATATGACCTTAGCAGTAAAAATGAGGAGAAAAGAATGCTTTCAAAAGTATTTGGAGGATACGTTACACAATGTGAAAGCTATAGGGAAGGGAATGAGCAGTGGTAAAGAGATGTATGAGGTTTTGAGGCTTGTTGAAATATATACTTTGGAGAAATATGAAGCACAAGTAGAAAAGATTTATGAGGAAGAACAGTTGAGTTTTTGACTGTTGTATAGATTTGAGAGTCATCTGCATTGAGGTGTCCCCAAAGTCACTCTAAAAACTATAAAAGGGAGAAAATAGCCTAGAGAGATCTATGAGAGGAAACCGAATCTTAGAGAAAAGGGAAAAAAGGGAAATGCAGAGAAAGAATCAAGAGTAATCAAAGAAGTGGGAAGAGATCAGGAAACTACGGATGGGGTGATAGGAACCTGGGAAAGAGAAAATGCCAAATAGGACATTGTCAATAGAGATGGAGAATTTGCAATCAAAATCTGTATTGTGTTTGAAACAAGTAACCTAAAGGGGAAAAATTAATATTTAGATTAGAACAAATCGCCACAGAACACAGTAAAAGATAGAGCATATGACGTACATGTTCTCATAGAAGAATCGGGAACACACAAGTAATTTATCTTCCAGAATATCTGTAGGTTTGTTTAGAACCTCAATTAAACTCTAGGGGATTGCATTTAGACTGTCTTGACAAAAAACACAAATATAGGCTGTAGATTCTGAGTCTTTGAAAGAATTTTCCCAATACCTCAAAATCAAGTCCAGGAATGGTGATTGTAGTTGGCAAGTTCTGGTATTAGGAGATCTCAATTACTCACATGAGAGCAAAATCCAAGAGTTAATCCGAGTGATTACAAAGTGAAAGACATGTGGGCGACATACCTAACACAGACACATACTCATAACTGAAGTGTGAGCTTTATTTGATAAGGGTTGTGACAGAAAATGGATTTGGAAGGAAACTGGACGGCAGGCTTTGTCAGCTTTCTCATCATTCAGGGGGTTATGCCATGCTGAGCAGCTAGAATCCACACTGCAGCAGCGGCATTAATAGGGCAACTCTGGCCTTTCTGTTTCCCACTAGGTGCAATGAAAAATTGACAAGACAAAGTTATATCGAGAAGGTTGCTATGTCCCTTAATTACACATGAAAAACCAGAATTTTCTAGAAACTGGAGAATTGGGCCAGGTGATTCTCCTGAGATTTGGGAACTTGTGTTCTACATATTCTGGATATATTACCTTGATAATCTACTTTGAAGAGATTTCCCCTACAAAATTGGAGATCCCTAGAAGTGACTTGCATTTTATTAGTATTGTTGTCAATATTACAGTTTTATGATTTCTCTCTTACATATAGCAAGGTCACTTGACATTTAATATACTTCTTTGGCCAAACTTAAAGTGGAATTCCTATCAGAGTATGAACACACTGCATAGTAGTATTTTTTTTAAATTCATAAAAATATTTCTCTGCGTGAGCTTAAAGGCAAGGAGAATGTTATGTAAGGGGGTAGGGAAAAACCAGGTATATATATGCCCCCTTTCCAAAGAAGGTCACATTCTGAGGCTCTGAATGGATATGAATTTGGGGGGTGGGTACTAGTCAACCCACAGCAGCTCATAATTGAGTTAAAAATTTTAGAGAATATTAAAATAACTATAAAAATTACAGATTGAAGTTTTCTAAGTAATGAAGATTTTATTTGGATTTATTTCATATCATATTCTCACTCATTTTTCATTTAGTTTAATTCCTCCTTCTCTAGTTGCTCCTGTCTCAGAAGGCTATGTCTTAACCAATGAGAAAGGATAAATTCGCCCCTGTGGTTGATATTTATGAGAATGCAAGGTGACAGGTAAGCTGATGCACTCTTTCTAAATATCTGACCCACAAATGTAGCCAGACGCTTAAAAATAAAATCTGTGTTTCCTAGCTGTGTGGTTATATTAATATCAGACTAAGTGACTTCAAGAGAAGGAGTATTGCCAGAAATAAAGAGGGCATTTCATAATGATAAAAGGGTCAGTTTATCAAGAAGACATCTTAAATGTGTATTCGTCTAATAAAAGAGTCTCAAAATCTGTGAAGCAAAGAAGATGCACTTAAATCCACAATCACAGCTAGACATTTTTAATACTCCACTCTCAGTAACTGATAGAACATATAGACAAAATATATCAGTAAAGATATAGAAAATTTGGACAGTTCTGTCAAAACTCTTGGCCCAAACAGTATTTTATAGAACATTCCACCCAACACGGCAGAATACACATTCTTTTCAAGTACATATGGGAAGTTGACCAAGAGAGACAATAGCACAGGTGAAAAAAATAAATGATTTATTTTTACAAAAAGGGAAATTGCACAGAGTATATTCTCTAACCACAACAGATTTATATTAGAAGTCAATAACATAGAGAAAAATCTCCAAATATTTGGATACTTAAAAAAGGGTATGCTTTATGAATATGATCTCAACCCTTAAAAAGAGTGCCGGGAAAACAACTTATCCAACTCTCTGAATTCCAGGTAGGTACAGAAAAGTATCCACTAAATTGATCAAGAAAATGACCACTCAAAAGCAAATAATCCTTTTAAAATGTGTAAGTAATAGGGCTCCGTAAGGTTGTCTTTGCCATTAACCCTAGGCTGGCTGCATCAAAAAAGATGTATTCAGCATTATGAACGAGCCTTTTAGCTATCTTAAGATTATTGAGATAGATGCTGTAACTTTCCATGGTTCCATCTTCTCTTAAAACCTCTAGAATCTCAAAGACTTCCTGGAGCTGCAGAGGGTGTTGCCAATCATCGTGGAAATTTAAAGTAAATGCTTTTTCTACAGATGTTAATGTCATTGTTTATTGACTGTTTACTCAGCTCAGATGTAATTGGGGTCATTAGGGATCCGGTCAATACCTGACCTTTTCCAATAAAGGGTGCACGCTGTGTTACTGGGCCTCACACCAGCCAGCCCTTACGTGGCGCGCAGCTGTTCCCACAGCGCAAAGCAGAAGCAGAGGCGCCATCCATCGCTGAAACTTTTTTGGGAAAAAAAAAATCTTCTGCTGTAGACATGGTGTTTCAAAAATCAGACAAAATATATTTCATGGAAAATCTATTTTGAGATCGACATTCATTTGAAAAGCTAAAACTAGCATCCGGATAAAAAAAGGAAGGGATGAAACATCAAACTGAAAATATCTTTCTATATTGTGACATTTTCGCAAATGTAAATGAGACCACCTTTAAGGCTGTCACAAGCAAAGAAATTCAACTGGGGTCTTGATGACTGAAGGGATGTTAAAGAATCTCTCATCAACGGACCACAAAGAATAAAGCGAAAACTATCCGTAATGTGCAGATGTTATCAGGATGTGACTTCAGCACAACCCCACATCCTGATAAGGAGACAAAACTGCAGATGTTTAATATATTACAGGAACTAACCACAAATTCTGTTTTGCTTCTCCAACTTTATAATGTTTAATTTTTTTACGACGTGAATTGCACTCTGGAAGAACTTCCTCTCAACTTAATTACTTCGTAAGTCTAAATGCCCACTGCTAGGATGAGGCGAGTTCTGGGTGAAGTGGTCCAGAGATTCCCCCTCCCTGGGTGCGGGGCAGTGTGAAGGATGCCTGGAGGGATTTGTGTAAGTCGTCATATGCAGGCATGAGGAGAGAGTTCTCATTGTTGTGTGATAGTGGAACCCTAGGTGTGAGATAGAGACCTCGCACTGATTTCACAACAAACCTGCTTTAAATCTGCCGGAGTCCTGGCAAACCAAAAGAATTCATAGAAACTCACATTTGTTAAACAGAGCAGAAAATATTTGGAGATGCGTAGCAAATAGTTCTGCCCAGATGACTTCTTCTTCTGAAGTTAAAAATGATAGAGTAATGATTTAATAGATTATTTTACACTATTTCGAAAGAAATTATTTGCCTTGGTGTGAATTCTGTTTGGGGGAATGCTGGGTATTCTTTTTTTATATTCTCGAAACCAGCCAAATGTCAAGTCATGAAAAAGTTGTACCAAGACCTCTATTTCTTTCATTTTGATTAGTTTAGATACAGTCATTTTCCAGGAAAGTTTAAAAAAAAAAAAACAGTCCATTTATTCTGTTCAGATGCTGTTTTTGACCCCATCTCTAAGTGAGTGTGGGCGGTTGGGGTGGAGTAGGGCAGGTTGGTACCCTGTTCTGCCACCCACTGGCAGTTTTTCTTCTCTTCCTCAGGGAGCCAACCTTGCCCTTCAGGGCCTTTATGCCAAACAAGCCTACATTGTCTGGATCAAAAGGACGGAAGATTACAGAATAAAAACACAGAAAAAGGAGAAAAAGGTAATTTTTTGAAAAAATAGGATGACATCTTTGAGATTAAAAACATAAACCATGCTTATTAGTTTTTTGGGGATGGGCTTGCACTTTAAAAAAAAAAAGTAATTTCTAATCAAAAGAGTAAATGTAAGAAGCATACCCAAGATTTTATTTTTACTTTTAGTGGGAGTGATTAAGTCTGGTGTTTATAAAGATGAAAAATCAGGGACAGCTATCACCCAGAATCAGAACTGGCTTAAGAAATAGTCTTGAAAAGAATTTTCTTTGAGATTCAGGAAGGAATAAAGGGGGTTAACATATATACCGTACTTGATTCCAGAGGGTAGTGATAGAAGAGGAAAATAAAAAGTAGAGCCCTGCTTTATCTTAGAAGTTTCAAGTAAGCAAAATAATGGCATTCTGGTGATTAGAAACAAACCAAACCAAAGACAAAGCCATTCCTGGTTTTAAACCAAAGACAAAGCCACCCCTGGGTTTACAGCACATTTACATATTTATGTCCACGTGGGATGGATGCAGCAGAAAGTGAACACGGTTCATCTGTAAAGGTTGGCTTATTGTCGGTCTGTGTTCTCTGTATGTTTCTAGTCCCAGTGCTCGGCCCAGTGTTGGGCACATTAACACTGGCCAATGATGTGAGTTGAATTAAATCATTGAACAAGAGAAAAGAACCCCATTCTGGATATCAGACAAAGTAAAGGATTCAAATACGTGAAGACTTCCACACTCTCTGTCTAAAGGACCATCTCTACTTGTAAGAAAATTTCATGGAATTTTTATGCCAGGGTAGGCGACTACAGAGGGAATGAAAGAAATTCTTCAGTGTAAGGTGGTTCCACCTTCTGCTAAGATGTGACCGCCAAAAAAACTCAAAAATATTTTGAGGAGATGCTATCTGCCAAAGGGATTACCACAATACATGTAGGATCAAAGAAAATTCCACATTTTACCCTGGTGATTAGCTGTAATTAAATAAAGTAAGTCTTTTTAAACTTCATTAGCAGCAAGACGTTTGCTACAGCAGAGTGGGCACAAATCATCCATTCTTAATTAAAAGATAATCCACAGGATGGCCATAATCTTCTTCTAAAAATACACCATTTCCCCCTGAAAGACTTTCTCATCAAATGAGGATAAATAACAGTTTCTATGAGTTTAAGCCATGAAGGAATGGATGCTCCTCCCGTTTGCTTGAGTGAGTGCTGAATGTGGCTGATAACATCACTTTGGCATGCTATTATCTAAAATGGTAGAATACCTCACTTCAGCAAAGTCTGACATAAATCTTTGAAAACAAAGACATTGCATATGTATGAGCTGAAATAGATATGACAGTGTTGGCACATTAATATTCCTGTCACTAGGGGGTTTCAAACTTTTAAAGAGAGAATGGGAATGAATTCAGTCTGTAGCTGGTAAAATAAGGCAGCATACAGTAGGACAATTAGGCATCACTAACCATAGTAAAATATGTACAGAAAAAGGGTTCCCCTGCTCCCTGACTTTGGTAAAAAATGACCGTGGGATTATCTCTTGGGAATGCCAAGAATAATTAATTTGGTTTAGAGATTTGCATGGTTGTTCTAAGCATACTAATAAGAATGTTCCGTGAAGACCAGTCCCAATCAATAGAAAAGAGAACTGTTTTTCTCTTGTGTAGCCACTGTGGTGGTTCATGGTAACAGATGTTTCCACTTATTCCACAACAACCCTCATTAAAAGTAACCGTGAGGCCTAATTGAATAGTTCTCCTCCTAGTTGGATTGGTGCAGAAAATAGTCCTATTATTGTATATTCCACAATTATTTCGTTTCCTGTTTTTGCTTGCTGATATGAAAAGCTTTACCATAGCGTTTTTTTTTTTGTTTTGTTTTTTTTTTTGCTGAACTCCCCAGGATGAAGTAAATGGGTGAAAAAGAAACTTCTTTTCACTCCATCTGACTCTGTATGGACTTACTATGTGTTGGGAAGTATCTACTTACAAATGCGAAGTATTTTTAGAAAAGCCTTATAAATCATCAAATTCTCGAAAATCACCACTTACCAGGGAAGATGACATAACAGTTGCATTCGATTCCGATCCTTCGGTAGGGGGGTGAGCAAGTTATTATTCAACACTAGGTCTTAATGAAAATTCGACACTACGTTACACTTAACGGTGTTTGAAGCCGATGTGGAAATGTTAGAAGTTTTCTTTTGGTAAAACATATGCATTGGCCTGGTGAGTGGAAATGAGGGGCTGCTTAAAAGATTTTTTTACCCAAAGCTTTTTGGACACATTGCTGTAACCCTGGGAGGCTTGGTCTGAGCCCTGAACAGCAGTTGCCCAGATGCAGAAAAAAGGCTTCAAAACCTCTCCTTTGACAAAGAGACATGAAATAATATCTGACAAAGGCATCGCAAGCAAACATGATGGCAAATCAGCAATTATACAGGCGACAAAGGAGAGCACATCTCACTTCCAAATGTCTTTTTTCTTCTTCTTCACATTTTACTAATAACATCTCATAGAGGTGCTTAGGTCAGTATTTTTAAAAACAATTTAATATATGACTGTGCTTTGGGTTTGGTTTAACTCCTTTATTACACTAATGCTATTTGTCATTTCATGCATGTGTCAGCATTGTTTTTGAATGGCAAAAAAAGGTTGGGAATAAACCAAGCACAAAGAAAGACACTTGCAGCTCACTCTAGGTAACTTTGTTTTAGAAAGGAATAAATACTCCACCAAGATAGTCTAAACAGCACTTGCTGTCTCTTAAATGGAGTCCTTTGTGGAAGGAAGAGGACCTACAATGAATCAAATAATATTGGTGAAGAAAAAATGGCAGCAAAATTGACCAGATCCAAACTGCATAGCTTCAATCTTTGATCTCCAACTCTCTTGCTCTTGAATTTGGAAAATAGGTAAGAGAAAGGCTTTTAAAAAGGAGTTATAAAGTTAAATTTAAATATGAAAATATTTACCTTTTTTATCAAATAACATACCATGAAAAATTTACATTTGCAAAATTAATTTTGAGCCCATCGTATAATAAATCATCATTAAAACCCTATGTGCCCAACGAATTCAAGCCCAGGCTTCAACCGGGATGGATATGAAGGAAAACAATAATGATAATAAAAGTAATAATGATAACAATAATAATAAATGAGATGGAACATGTACTTCACAAATAACTGCAATACACAGTTCCTCAAAATCTCTGCGTTTTTATTGCATAATGATCAATCTGCTACTGATCAAAGGTATGCTGTACCTCAAATAAGCAAAATGCTCATGGTGTGAAATTAATGACATGAACTGTAAATGAAAACAAAGCTACTTAGGCCTTTAAAATTATTTTCTTTCTTGTGGATTCATTGCAGAAAAATAATGAATTGCAGCCTCTTCTTTCCTGACATATTTGGGATAGTTCACATGACTTTGAAATGGCTTAAATATTTTACCACCCACTATAGAATGTTCTGAAGAGGGGAAGGAAAACGTGTATTTGTTTTGCCGGTGGTCATTTCTTACTGTCTCATTTAGTATGTAGGAGTACAAAAGGTATACTGTTAAAAGGAAATGAAGAGCAAACTTAGTCAAATGTATTTGAATGCAAGAATATAAGGGATATATTAGAAGATGCTTGATGACTAGAAATCAATCCATTTACCACATGGTCTGTTAGTATAAAGATTCTGCAAGATCTCAGAGAATCTCGTGTGCTAATCAAGTTAATTAGCTGTAGATAAGGATACTCTTAAAATTAGGTCTGTAAACACCAGACTTTTATTTTATTTTTTTATTATTTATTTATTTTTAAAATTTTTATTACATTGATTTATTTTTGAGAGACAGAGAGAGACAGCACAAGTGGGGGAGGGACAGAGAGAGAAGGAGACACAGAATCTGAAGCAGGCTCCAGGCTCCGAGCTGACAGCACAGAGCCCTTCTTGGGGCTCGAACTCACAAACCATGAGATCATGACCTGAGCCGAAGTTGGATGCTCAACCAACTGAGCCACTCAGGCACCCCAGTAAACACCAGGCTTTTAAAAAGCACTAACAAGGTGTAGTTTTTTTCCCAATCCCGTTCACATAAAGAAATTTTTTTTTTTCAATTTACACCCTCACAATTTGTTTAGGATAATCTCTTTTGTTCTATCAGATCACATAGATTGAATATTTTGTGGTATTATGTTTTCTGATAACAATGCGAGTCAGAATTTCAGCATACCACGGATAAAGCTATCATATTCTTTTATTCATTACATATAACATACCTATTGTGATTTAGACCCTTGAAAAGCCAGCGTTTTATTAAAACATTTCTAACATATAAAGATATTTGATTTTAAAGATATAATATACCATGTCTTGCTTATTTGAATTAAACATTTGTCTCACATATTAGTACACCACACACTTTTCCTTGTTTGGATCGAACCAGAATGACCATGTGCTTGATTCTAAATGCGGTTGAAACATTTCATACGATGATCATTTAACACGCAATGTAGTAAAGAAATATCTACACACAAGTATGCATTTGGTATTACCAATGAAGAATACACCTGAAGTCAATGGTACCGTTTAATCTTCCATGCTATGGCATTTCATTTTCTAGCAAAACAAGTCTTCTGTCTTCTGCTACCATTTTATATAAAATAAATAAAACACCAACTTCTTTCCTTATCCTTGCATTGCTTACTCCTCCAAAAAAGATACGTTTTATAAAAGAAGTCGTTATATCAAGATGTATGTCTGCTTTCCTTCAGAAGACAGATTAGAGCATTTCAGCTGCCACTAAAGTTGTCGCTCTTTGTAACAAAATGTAATGCTGCATATATAAAAATGCAAAGTGTAATGTAGAGTCAAATGTCTCTCAGCACAAGAGTTGTTCGTTTTAGCACCCATTTTGTTGGTATTTATCAACTTACTAATTATAGGCAAATTGCTTCCAACACGAAAACTGTGATGATTAGCAGTTTTTTCTGCTAACTCTAGTCTACTGTAGTTCCGGTAAAGAATGTCAATAATCCAGATTCCTTTCTTTTTCCTGGCTTAGAAAATGTAAAAATAAATTCATCAGGCTAGCATTTCTCAACTTTCGGGAAATGTGGTTTGGAAGGATGAGGGAGGAAAAAGGAAAAAGAGATGGATTAAATATATCGAATCAGGAAGGTCTACTTGCTACCTCCCATCATTTGGACAATCGTGAAGGCTCACTGGAGATTGGTCTATGACAAAATGGAATTAGGCAATCCCAATGTAATTAACAGAGTAGCTGCATTTGAGCATTTGCACAGGAAATGCATCAATCGCTAGAACCCAGCATGCAATCTCTATATTAAAGGGAGGAAGAAGATTCTTAAGCACTACCTCATATGCTATCATTGATACCTAGCAAAAGGCTGGCATGTATTGTTTTAAACCTCTCATCTAACTCTTCAGCAGAGATCTATGATATTACTCGGTTAGACATAAAACAGTTTGTAACCTTCAGACCTCCATTACAGTCCTTTAAAGTGTGCTCAAATGAAAATGGGAGTAACATGCCAATCTAGAAAATGTTTTCATAACATGCAATACTATAAAAGGTTGAATTTTCTATCACCATTGCTAATTTCAACCATTTGTTTCTCATTACAATAAGTAAACAAGATTAAATGGAAAACCTTACAGTTCACAGAGTACATTACACAGCAGAAATGTCTGTAGCGAATACGGACTTAGTGTCTTAACCAACTTATGTGCCTCTAAGTGACTATTTCTCCTTGCTATGAAGTTTTTACAATTTTAAAGTTATATTGGCAGGTTCCAGTCAACAATGATGTCTGCGATGGCCTTCTTTCTCTAATACATTGCTTTTAGTCTAATTGCTTATTTGCAGTCTCAGCAAGCAGAGAGAAGAATTTTATCCTCTTTGCCTTGTCTCTGAATACTAACTAGCTGGCCCAGCCGAGGCTCTCTAAAGAGAGAAACTGCATGAGGGACACACTGCATTTGACACAGTCAAGAGGTAAAAGAAAGAGCAAAACAAAAGTCTATTCAGGACTGAATCCTCTGATATTCTCCCCCATCCCCCAACTCCTTTAAAAATAAAGCAAAAGGGGGCAAAACCCATAAATCCATGCCTGAATGCCTGAGGTTGTCAGAATAAAGGACAATGAATGACAGGTGACTGTCAGTATAATTCTCAGTCTCCAAGTTATCACTTTTTGGCATTGTTGAACAAAAAAAAATGTATACATAACAAGGAAATATGTCATGTGTTCTCTGTGAATGCGCACAGTTCAGTATAGGAGAAGCAGCTAAGTATTTCCACATGGGCACATGGGTTTCTCTTCAGTTCCGTGTATTTTTTGCTGGAAAATGTTCTGAAATTATGAGATGTTTTTCTAGTGACAATAGTGCTAAGTAACTTTGGGGAAACTGCTGAAGGGTTATGAACCTGGCTTTCGCTTAAAGTTTTTTTTTTATTTAAAGAATGGGAGATCTGACTTGATAAATAAAACCCCTTGCACATGTTGCTAAAATTCTAAAAAAGAAGCAGGAGCCCACTGATGAGAGTTTTTCTGTTTGATTTTTAAAAGGCTTCTCTCAAGCGATTTTCCCCCAAGATCTCTTTACACTTTCATCTTCAGAGACTGCCTTAATCCTCCGGTCTTTGTTGTTCCAATGTCTGATCAGTTTGTTTTAAAGTCGCATCTACCCCACATTTGCTAGAACTGAAACTTGACTTCAGGCACTTGCAGTTATAAATCCCTACAAACGTGCAGGCTTTCCAGAGGAAGGTGGAAAGTGCCGAAACAGAGAAGGTTTTGATGATTATTTAAATCATGTGTATTAAGTTGTCTGCTGCATGAACTACAGGTACAGAGAGATAACAAACGTGAAGTGACGGGGTAATTTGTAATTAAAATAAGCTTGGCCTCCTTCTCAGATTACTGGCACACTCCAGTCGGTTGACCATCTGTGGTGGAAGGACAAAGATTCTATTCTCAGTTCCGCTGGGCTACGGAAGGGACACCACTGCCCAGAGCTCCAAGTTTCGAGGTCTTGCCATGGTAGGCATGAAGACAGTTCATTGTGGCCAACCTTCTGATGCCAGGTGTAACCATGCGATGAGCGGAAGGAGTATGGAGACAGTGATCTGTGTCCCTCTAAGCACTCACAGGGCATTATTCAGGCAAAGCTCAACTGCTGTTACCGCCCCAGCAGGTGTTACTACACATTTCCAATCTTTAGAGAGAGATGAAGAGAGAAGGAAGAGAGTGCAAGTGAAATAAAACAAGAAAAACAGGAGAAAGTTAATTTCCTTGTTACATCTTTTATCTTTTGCCTGCTATGAAGGAAAAAAAAATCTTAAAAGGTTGAACATGAAAGAATGCTGTATATTTCACAATGAAATATGAACCATCTTTTGTTTTACTTTTAAGTTCAGAAATGCAGAGTACTTGACAGGAAACACTCGTCTTATGTAGACTTCAAGTCAGTCTTCAAGCAACCTATGTGTAGGCTATTTAACAAACTGATCATATGAGAGTTTTCCTCAGTTGCATATGAAATCTGTGCACAAGTAAGTGAACAAGATTGTTGAATTCTGTTTTCATTTTTTACTTATAGCAGGTATACCTTAAACTGCAGCCTTTGCATATTTATTTTAGAAGGTCGAGCAGAAATGATTATATCCAACACCTGAAGAGTATTTTTGTATGGTCTTTCTTTATAGTGATTATATTTCTACTGCCTTTGATAATGGTCTTCATGAAAAATCTCCTAAGGTAAACAATACATTTAAAAATCTTCCTGTCATAATTGATACCGATAGGTTTATAGCTATGAAACTTGAAAGTCAGAGATAAAATTGTTTTAGAATACAAGATTAATCTAATATTGCTTTTGGTTATTAGGGCATGGAAGTTATGTGGGACACTGATATGAGCCAAAGATTGAATGTGAGAGGAAACAAGAGGCCAACTTTTAACTTTTAACACATGAAATTAAATATGTGCATGTTAAAAGAACAGATCTCTATCTTATTTGTTTATTATTTATTTATTTAGTTAGTTAGTTAGTTAGTTTTTTCTCGGGGAGAGCTCAAATGACCCAAAATTAAAGATTACTCTTCAGTAACTGTGTGAAAAGTTTTTCTTAATGATAGTCAGAAAGTAGAAAGAATTATGTAGTGAATAGTAACTACTTCATACTAGAGCCTTTTCAAAATGAAGATATTTAATTCTTCATTTCATTTATATTTAATAAGGTACCCACTATACAGTTGAGGAATTCCAATTATTTTGAAAAATAGTGACCCATAGGTCAGCCCTATCTTGACAATTTCTGGTTAAGAGTTCAAGGAAAAAACTCAGGGTCTTAAAAATATAAAAATCTATGTAGATTATCATCATCATGAAAGAATGGTTCACTTATTTTATGAATATGATGATTATTTTCTGTGCTATTTATTCTTATGAAAACTGTTAGTTTCTTTGATGATGAAGAGAAAGGTGTTCAAGTGATAAAATATCCAGCTGACAGTCATTCTTAAAATATTAGGTGATAAATGCTTTCCTTCTGAAATCTATTCAGCCTAAATGCATTACTCACTGTATTTAGCCAATATTCATCCTGTAGCTTATAATGATATAGTGTCAGGGCTGAGAATTTGAGCAAATAATTACTGAGAGCCAGGTGCCAGGGAAGTGGCATGGCAGACACGGGGACTTGTACTCTAGATTGAAGGAAAGGAGGTTTAGAATAGGTCTGGGAGAGGAGAAAGGGCCTTTTCTGGAAGAGGAATGAAATGAGCAGACACAGATGTGAGGATGAGTATAGGTGGGAAATATCCAAACTCTGAATTTCCCTTTG